CAAAAGCACATGCAGAACATTTGCGGATAGCAAAAATAGATGATTGGGAAATTCCCAAGGATACAACAGGTAGGCCCAGAAGGAAGGCCCAATATGTTGTTCCTCCAGAAGAGTCCAGTAGTGAAGAGTCAGATCCAGTCATTATCACTGATTCCAAGGCGCGGATCGCGAGACGATATCGTCAAGAGCGATCAGATTCAGAAGAAGAGGACTACATACCATTGGCAGAATTACAGAAACGATTAAGAGCCAGGGATCAACCACTTGAAACTGATTCTGAAAATGAGGAGCAGGACGAACAGGTAGAGCCCCATGATTCTGCAGCTAATAACGACGAAGAAGACATGTTAATTGAATCTATTGAACGAAAATCATCTAGAATCTCTACTAGAAACACACATACAAACAAAGGAGAACAAGTTAAACAGCTGCTTCAAGCAATGATTGGGTTATTATAGGGTTATCCAGATTAATGGTTATCAGATCATCGTCTATTATTCGATATCCTTATGTTTCAGGGAGAACATGTTTCCTCCGGTTCTCCTCTTCCTGTTTGGTTTTGCCCAGGGTAATATAATGTATGAAAATGTTATCTTCCAAAAGATAAATGATATCACTACCACTAGGTCAAAATGGTTGGTAACCTTTGTTATTGATCTAAAACCATATAACCAGTTTATTGAGCAATGCAGGTATGACATTGATCAAGTTGCACTGATGGTTAGGCAATTTATGAACCGTTTCTACTCAGATAAATCAGAGGGAATTTTAAGTATGTATATAAAGTTAGACGAAGAAATAATACGTTTGAGTACCACCTTAAATAATCTAGCAGAAAATTTGGCAGAATATAGCAGGTTGCACGCCCGACCTAAGCGCTCGCTATTACCATTTGTTGGAAAAGCTTTAAGTTTCTTGTTTGGCACTGTGTCTGATGCTGACCTAAACACTATAAAGCAAAACGTGAAGAGGCTTGCAGAAAACCAAGTAGATATGACACACGTAATACAGGAGGGGCTCTCTATCCTCAATACAACTAGAATTCAAGTCTCGGAGAATAGACAGACCATTAATGAAGTTATTGATGACTTACATTTTGTAGAACGTGAAATTGCTAATGTATCAATGACATTAGGAAATCAGATAGCAAAATTAGAATGGGTCACAAAGACCTATTTACAGGCAGAACTTGTCATTGAGAATATTCGAGGCATGTTACAAACCTTTTTATCCTATCTAGAACACCTCCAACTTCAAGTTAATATGTTGGCCTTAGGACATCTTGCACCCAGTACAATAACGCCAAAACAGTTACTAAGTTTATTAAAGGACATACAAGTCCATCTTCCTAATAGGTTTCGATTAGCAAATGATCCCTAGGACAACTTATGGGATTTCTATAAGTCCTTACTATGTACCACCGTGCTATTCGAAAATAAGATCTTGGTAATTACGTCCATTCCGCTTCTAGATGTTAATGGACAATTTGGGATATACCAGGCACATAACTTACCTATACCACTGATCGGGAATGGCATAGACACGAAACCAGATGGTATCGGTCATATGGTAGCAGAATATCGTTTAGAAACTGATGTAGTTGCAGTCAATGCACAGCGTACGAAATATGCATTATTGAAACCCTCCGAGGTACAGGCATGCACAAAACCCCTTACGGGTTATTGCCATATCCAGAGTCCCATCTACCCTATCAATCTAAGCCATCTATGTGTAGTTGCTCTATTTATGAAAGATGAAACGAAAGTCCAAAAGACCTGTCGTAGAGAAATCAGACCAAACGCAATTCTACCTATGGCAGAATACCTCGCTGCAGGGCGTTGGATAGTGACGACTCATAAGAAATTAGATTTTGTAGTGGTATGTGATAGTAATAGCCGGTTTTCCTATACTATCACGGTCTCTCCACCATTAGAGATAATTAAACTGAACGCCTCGTGTTCAGCATCTAATGATCATTTGACTTTACTCCCTTATTATCATAATGAAAGTCAATATCAATCAAGAGATAATTTTCTAGAGTTAGTGATGACCGTGAATGTTTCGAACATGTTGCTCTGGAAACCTTTTTATGAAAACTGCCAAAAGACTGAACTTGACTAGGTTGCCTGATAAACTCGGAGTTATTGAGAAAATTCCGATGGATCATCTTATTGATAAGCTTGATGAACTACATAACATGATACCAGACGATGAGACTTCTGACTGGAAATATTTTATAGGCATAATTCTACTTATAGGGGGAATATTGGTAGGGATATTTCTGTACATAAGAGTCATTAGACCCTGGCTTGCCAAACGAGGAAGGGGTGGGAGGAACGTCTCGGCTACAACCGAGGTTGAGATGGTGCCAGTTAACGCTGGGGGGTGCAGATCACACCTACAGAGGACCACTACCTTCTGCGCCACTCCTACAGGGCTCCGATCCAGCAAGCGAACTTCCACCAACGACCGCCATAAGGAGCATCTATCCGACGCTGGACACGGTCACCCGAAACACACGTGAGACGAACTAATTCATGGAACTACTGACTTACAGATGTGATTGCTACACGCGGTCCAGTGAACACAACGCAAAGTTCGAAGATAATGGACACTGGTGTAATGTGGTGCACACTCATTATAAACTTCATGTGGTCAATAGTTGTTTACATGTTTGTGACATATAGTATGTCGAACCACGTATATATGGAGCCGACCGAATGGTCGAGTGTTGCATTAACGGCACAATAGTGTCGAGAATTGTACATAACAATGTACACGGGTATCCATGTAATGATTGCTGGCATGAGCATAATGAATTGTAACTAACAATGTACTTAGGTACCCATATAATGATTGTTTACATGAATATAATGATTATTAATAACAATGTACACAGGTACCCATGTAATGCTTGTTAGCATGGGTGTTTTAGTGTTAATCGCATTTAACGATTGCTAGAAAATTCTTATGTAAAGAAATTTCTAATGTATAATGGGGCGAATGTAACACTATGGTTGGAGGCTGTGTAGACGGGCAGGCATGTTTTCCATGGAAGATAAAAGTCGGTCAGTGCTGGTCAACAATGGGTGATGATAAGGGCAAATTGACCAGATAAAGATATGATTGTACTGACCACCACTAATGACTGACTAATTGGACAGATAACGATTTAACTTTGTTGTGATGATTTGGCAAACTGTCCAGCGAAATGCTGACTGGTCACTACGTGTACCTGAACGGTCAAGAGAAATGCTGACTAGTCGCCACGTGATCCTGTGGCGAAGTTCCTATATAAGCAGCACCATCAAGGTAGTCTAGAGAGACAGCCACATAGAGAGGAAGACAGCTTGAGGCACAGACGGGCGCTGAACACAGACCAACGGACAGCACCAACAGCCAAGGCTAGCAGATCAGCTGAGCAGAGAAGTCCGAAGAACAACCCTGGTCTCACCTGGTCAGCGCCTGGGAACTGCCTAGCCTCTCGCATGGTCTCCACCATATTCCGACTGTTGTAATTACTGACTGATATCGTTATATGCTGTGATAATTAAAGAACGGTGTTAAAACTTTTCATCCTGTGTCGTGTTATCGTGCTACACACATCCGGTGATTTAGTATGGGCTGTCGACGGTGGTGTTTGGAAGAGCCTCATTTATCGCTCCGTAGAGAGTTGTGATCCTATTTATAGATTGCCTGTCACTAGTAGACGACCGATGTAACTGATTTTACTAAAAATTACGATTGCTATTATTTAATTTTGGCAGTTTGTTTTGCATCAGAAGTGATATGAATGATCTAAAGATACTGATTTTTCAAAAAAATGTAAACTAACCTTCCGGCTTTCTGTTGTGAATAAAATTTCAGAAGACAGAGATTGGGCATCCACTCAATCGATGACACTGCTCCCGCGCACTTTAATAGCACAGATTTATTTGAAAAATAGAAATAAATATCTGTCTTGTATTTCATCAAGGTTATGTTTTATTGCATGGAGAGTGAAAATACATATGTTACATTATAATTTCAACTAGGATCACAAATCAATTATGATTGTGAATGACCATAAATGAAACAATCATAGTAATTTCACAGCTTCAAAGGTAGCAATATATCTAATGACTACTAAGTCATGATAACACAAAATGTATTCACTTGAACTGAATAAAAGATTTTATTAAATGTATGAAAGTTTTGAATGAAGACATTCTATTAGCATTATATATACAAATGTACACAGATAATGTATTTATTCTGTACAACTTCATTTCTTATGAAAGAAAATATAATAATGATATGAAACTGATTAACACTTTTTAATTACTTTTTAAATTGTTGATTCTAAATATGGAAAGTAATGATGAAAATAACAAGACATCATATTGCAGCTTCAAAACATCAGTTACTAAATTGAACTTTATGAGTATTAATTTGAAAACAATGAGTTGTATGCCACATTACATTATATTAGTATATTTAAATCTGATGCAATGTAACACTTGTCAATTACAGAAACAGTAAGTCTTGAAGATATGGAACTAGTATCTTTTTCTACAAATAATCAGCAAACTATTCCAACTGATCCTGAATCTGGCGTCAAACTACCAGCATCACCCATGGATACACCAATTGAATGTTCTAAAATTCCATCATCAAGCAGGCAAGATGAAGTGCAGACAGAGAAGATGAAGTGCAGACAGAGAAGATCCAGGGCAGACAGAGAAGATCCAGGACAGACTGAGAAGATCCAGGGCAGACAGAGAAGATCCAGGGCAGACAGAGAAGATCCAGGGCAGACAGAGACGATCCAGGACAGACAGAGAAGATCCAGGGCAGACAGAGAAGATCCAGGGCAGACAGAGAAGATCCAGGGCAGACAGAGAAGATCCAGGACAGACTGAGAAGATCCAGGGCAGACAGAGAAGATCCAGGGCAGACAGAGAAGATCCAGGAAGACTAAACACAGTAATGATGATGTACTCCATATGCAGTACCAGGTCTTAGCAGGAGAGAGAGAGAACCAGAGTCTGAAAAAAGAAAAACTGATAATAGAGAAGCAGAGAGAACCTCATTCCGAAGGATAGCTATGTTGTGCAATATTGCGCAGGTCAATATAATTTTGCACACTTTTCCCGGGTTCATACGGATCTAAAACAAAAGTTAAAAAGCATATAACATTATTTGCTCATTAAAAATCATATATGCAATCAGACATTATTTATGTATTGAAAACTTTATCATAGAAATATGTTATTTTACATATCTTACTGAAAATATAACATTTCCTTTAAACTGCTATCTGCCCTTACTTTAAATCAATGGCGAGGAAATGCACATATCTTAATACCTCAGAATGCAGAACATGAAACCTTCGTTTTAATCGGCCAAAGGTCCTCTCTATGGTGACTCTGGTCCTCCACAGTCTGTCATTATACCGCTGTTGAGGGTTCCCTTGTGGGTGAAGGTAGGGAGTGAGTAAGTAGGGTCTGCAAACACAACATCAGTATGAAGGAAGCATTCATTGGAAATGCTGACTAATTTGAAATAAAAAAATTATTTCACTTCACTAGAAAAATACAATATTATAATTTACATGTATGGAAAACTATATTTGACTTGTTGAGCAATAATCATTAGCCGACAACTGGAATTTAGGCTTTCCAGCAAATTAAATTTAAACTGTAAGTTATTTCATGTAAGATGTGAAACTTTACCGGCATGCATATCCACTATCTCCAAGGACAAACCCATCTGAAATTCTGGTGTGGTTGGCTTCTAATTAAGTGTTGTCTCAGATTTGATGTCCTAAATATATGACTGTCATGGGTGGAGCCTGGCCAGCTGGCACACAAGTTGATTATATTTCCTGTTAAAAAACCCATATGTATAATATTTAAAAAAAATTCAATTGATAGATTTGAAGTAATAATCATGCAAAATGTAAATTTATTCCTACTGAATTTCTGGGAAAACCAATCTCAATTCTCATAAAAATATTTGTCATGCTATAAATGAGTATAAGCATTACCTCTACTTTTTATCATACACACTATACCAAGGGAGCTCACTCTCACATTCGGTTTTCATTTCAAACAGATGACAGTTTTCAATCATGTACACTGAAGTGATATATCGGCTTTACTTGCCACACTTTAAAACAAGTAAACATTGCAAGTAAGTTTTACTGTGACGGTGTTGTTTACATACCTTTATCGTCACAAACAGCCTGCACGTTTATGCTGTGCCAGCCCTTACGGTTGACATAAGCAAGCTTATCTTGGGTGGGTGCCTGAATCCGGACATGGGTACCATCAATGCAACCGATGAAATTAGGGAAACCTCCAATCTCAAAAACAACCTTCTTTATCTTGTCTTTCTCTTGTACGCTTGGCCACTTGATAAACTGATGCCACTTTCGAACAAGAGCATCACACACTCTATCAACAGTCCTCGAAACTGTACTCTTATCAAGACCAACCGTATCTCCCACAACCTGTAGGAAACTACATCTGGCCAAGAACCTCAAGGTGACTAGCACCTGCATCTCTACAGTGAGAGCATGGTTCCTTTTTGTGTCTCTCTCCACATCATCAGGAACCAAAGATATTATGTAGTCAATGGAATCTCTTCGAAATCGGTATCTTTGGTGTAATTCCATTTCATTAAACTCAACAGAAAAATTCCTGAATTCCTTAAGTTTTCTTTGTGGTCTAATGTTCATGAATGCTGCATTCGGCTGGACAATAAACGCCATGTTGTCACCATGGAGCTAGACCTAGAACTGATGCTAATGGTAATGTTAGTGAGCTAATGTACCCCCTCCCCTTACGTTAAGTTAACGTGGTCTTAACGGGCCGTTAAAGATTAACGGCGCTTTGAGCAACAGGCCTTCGCTCTCTTAACGTTAACGGACCGTTAAGGACTAGTTAACGGTCCGTTAAAATTTAACAGGCTTTTGAACAACCGGGCCCTGGGGTTGTAAGGGCCATCCTGGATCCAGGGGACCTGTATATAGCATGATGAGTTTAGAGGTTTTCGGGATCAGTTATTCTAGTTTGTGAGCATACGCAAATCTTTGGCCCAAGTTTGTTGGTCGACCATCAAGATGAGATGACAAGCAAAACCCTTCGTGCTGTAACGTCCATGCTTGGACCAGGAGATCTGTGTAGTTTAAGAAATGAGAACACGGTTACTATTAGGAAAGCTACCAAATGTGTTGCCAGGAATTAGATCAGGTTCCAGGGGCGTAACTGGTGTATTCCCATACAATAACCAATAACCATTTACTACACCACATCTATATTAAATTCAAAATCTCTAATACTCTTTACCTATTTCATATTATTTTTTACCTTTTTAATTCGGCATTCAATTCAAATTTTCCTTAATACTCAATTGTTGGGGCTTTTTTTTGGTAGTAACACCACTCTTTCAAAATTTCTATTTTTTGTTCCCCTCATTTCTTAATAAGTGTACAACCCCGTCGCTGAAAAACCTTAGTTGTGCGTGCGACATTAAATAAAGCAAATAACTATTACTACCTTACTCCAAACGACACACCTCTTCTTCATTGATAATTGGGCTGTTCCATTATTCTACAGGGAAAAAACCATTTCCTACGCTGCCTACAATATTTTTGTTGGCAGTTTGGGATGTAGGCAGTTTGGAACTGTATAGGCAGTATGGGACCTCACCGCATAGCTACCACTTTTAATAAAAAACGGGCTTACACCTGATTGTTGTTAAAAAGGTTGAGCAAGCCGTCAAAACTATCTATGTATAAAACTTTGCAAAATATCGGGATACAGGAATAAATTTTGCTTGCTACGCGCCTGGGTTCCTTTTTTGAAATGACAATCCTTGGAATGTACGTGACCCAGTTCACTGCTTATATACTAGGCACATAAAGAAACTGTGCATACAAAAAATTTAAATCTAAATTTATCAAACCTGTGTAGACACACAAGGATTCAAACTCAGAGATTAGTGACATGTATCCAACATGCATGCACGTGCCACGTTCCGTGACGTCAGTGGGTTCGTCCTTGAGACGTGCAATACGTTGTTGCACGTGCATTCCGGGAAAGAGAAACAGAGCAAATGAATGCCACACAATACTGTCACTTTGGAAAGCTCAACCCCTGCCCCTTGCGATCGTTCAAAAATTAAACGGCTATTGAAACGCATAGCATGCCAAGGCTCACGTCTGCACAACGTCATGAGGACATTGGGATGGTCCGTCGGGGAATGTCTCAACGACAAGTGGCTGCACATTTCCACTGCCACCGGAACACCATTTCTGCACTTGTGAGACGCTACCAGAACACAAATGACGTCATCGATCGGCCACGTTCTGGACGTCCACATGTAACAACGCCAAGACAGGACATATGGATAAGGGTGACCCATCTTCGCTACAGGTTTCAGTCTGCAGTGATGACTGCCCGAACCATCCCAGGACTTCGCCGTATCCACCCCAACACAGTTCGACAACGTTAAGGTCATCACGGGATCAGACCACGACGTCCCGCCATACGGCCTATCCTGACACAACGTCATCGACAAGCTCGCCCAATGTGGTGCCGAAATCATGTCCGCAGACCCTTGTTTTGGTGGAGAAATGTTGTTTTTACAGATAAGTCCAGGTTTAACATTTCCCATAGTGATGGACGTCAACGTGCCTATCGACGCGTGGGAGAACGTTATGCACAGGCCTGTGTCTTGGAGAGGAATCGCTTTGGTGGTGGTTCCGTGATGATTTGGGGTGGAATAACAGCACGCCAAAGAATTCCTTTGGTGATTGTTCAAGGCAACTTAACTGGTGTAGGCTACAGGGATCAGATTCTTCGTCCTTTGGCAATTCCTTTTCTGCAACGTCATGGCCCTGGGTTAACATTCCAACAGGACAATGCCCGCCCTCATACAGCAAGGGTTGCTATGGATTTCTTGCAACACCACAACGTTGACTTACCGCCTTGGCCTGCAAATTCACCGGATCTCTCCCCGATAGAGCATGTTGGGACGAAATGGATCGACGTCTATGCCGTCTTCCTCATCCGCCAGATAACGTCCTTGACCTTGCAACAGAACTTGAGAGAATCTGGCGTGACATCCCACAAGCCTTCCTTTCACGTTTGATAGGTTCTATGCGTCGTCGACCCTGGTAGGCCATTGGTTTTTCAATGTACATTCGTCTTGTTTCTAAAAATATACCCTAGATATAGTCAGTTATGTTGGGCAGTGCTGTATATCATCCAAGTGCAATTTTAAATCACAAGGCGGAATTGACATCAGCTATTGCGTTCAGATTAGTCGCAAAACACCTTCAGTGGGACGATGTCCTTGTCATAGCGCCTAAATGGTCACAACTGTTTCCTATAGACGGCACCAAGTCGCAAAAATGGCCCACAGAACGATATGTTTCCATGAGTTGGATTGAAGCGCTTGTTAATCAGTTAACCAACAAATGTGAAGAGTTTTACCCTTGACCCTCGCTTGTTAATAGTTCCAACAAATGTGAAGAGTTTACCCTTGACCCTCGCTGAAACAGACTGATAGATAAAGTGACCAAGAATATAATTTGTCTCCTTCGTCTGTAACCCTTGACAACGATTAATGTATTTCAGGAAATGGGCAAGTCTCCGTGGCATAGTTCCATTCCTACATAATCAATGTACGTCACGTTACAATATAGCTTTTCACTGATCCATGTGTAAATGCTCAGATTCCTGTCCGCCACATTAACTTAAGCAATAACATAAATTCCACACGTGATTGTGATAATGTGATAATACATCGAAAATGAACTTTAAATGCAATTAATAATAATGAAACCAATGTCGAAAAAATACTAGGAAAAGTTTATTTGGGGATCGGCAGCCTGAATAATTACTGTAACGGGGGGTAGCGCATAGTTCTTGAAAATATAGTTTTGCTAGAAACAAGCACTGGAAGCTGGCTTGACCGATGCACTGTGTCACTGATATACTTTTCGTATGTTGCAGCTCTACGTCAACTGTGTACCGTCGAAATATTCTCACGGCCCTTGAGATCAGCTGTCAAATAAAACATTCTGATGTACGTTGTCATCTTGTTTCATCTGTCAGCGTAGGTGGCGATAGTCCTACTTAGTTGGTGATGACGAGCAAGACACCGGTGGTGTAAGGGCCGCTACTGGGCAATGGGATCGGTACATAGTGTAATGATGAGTTAAGGATTTTCAGGGTGCGTACTATGAGCATACACAAATCTTTGACCCAAGCGTCTTGGTCGACAATCAAGATGAGGAGATGACGCCTAAACACCTGGGTCCGGTTGTTCAAAGCACCGTTATTTTAACGTACCGTTAAACACTAACGACCCGTTAAATAGCTAAAGAAAAGTTAGTTCACAGTACGTTAAATTTGGTTGCTGGAAGGTGTTTACAACAGGCCGTTAAGTAATGGTATGATTAGAGGTTAACAGCCTGTTAAGGACCTAACCATTACCCACAATTCCTTACATACTGTCCCATGATTCCCTGTCAAAATTGCATCGCAACCAGAAACACCTGAAATGACACCAGTAACCTCTGACTGTAGAAAAAGAAAAACAAGAAAAAATTTCAGTGCTGAAGAAGAGAATGTCATTCAGGCAATGTTTCCGGAAAATGCTGAGATTCTTAATAACAAATTCAGTTATCTCAACCTCAATTATCCATTCAGACTATAACTAGCCTGTTTCAGAAAGTTTACATACTACTAAATACATATAATTTTCTATCCCACCACATTTGTATTACAATGCATTCAATGAATTAATATTCATAGTATGCAGATGATACAAAGATGTTAGGCATGATGAAATATCCCGGTTTTCAACGATGTAAGACAAAAACGTAATTTTCATCATTAATGTCATTTAAAGTTTTTATTTTACTAACCTTGAGTTATAAATGATGTTTTCATCTATCAAAAACAAAATTATCAAGTGTTTTCTCCAAATATAACGTTGGTGTCATCGTAATATTCCATAGGCGTAACTGTTGCCGCTGCCCACATCCGGTGATTTAGTATGGGTTGTCGACGGTGGTGTTTGGAAGAGCCTTATTTATCGCTCCGTAGAGAGAGTTGTGATCCTATTTATAGGTTGCCTGTCACTAGTAGACGACCGATGTTACTGATTTTACTAAAAATTACGATTGCTATTATTTAATTTTGGCAGTTTGTTTTGCATCAGAAGTGATATGAATGATCTAAAGAAACTGATTTAAAAGAAATGTAAATTAACCTTCCGGCTTTCCGTTGTGAATAAAATTTCAGAAGACAGAGATTGGGCATCCACTCAATCGATGACACTGCTCCCGCGCACTTTAATAGCACAGATTTATTTGAAAAATAGAAATAAATATCTGTCTTGTATTTCATCAAGGTTATGTGTTATTGCATGGAGAGTGAAAATACATATGTTACATTATAATTTCAACTAGGATAACAATTATGATTGTGAATGACCATAAATGAAACAATCATAGTAATTTCACAGCTTCAAAGGTAGCAATATATCTAATGACTACTAAGTCATGATAACACACAAAACCAAATGTATTCACTTGAATTGAATAAAAGATTTTATTAAATGTATGAAAGTTGTGAATGAAGACATTCTATTAGCATTATATATACAAATGTATACAGATAATGTATTTATTCTGTACAACTTCATTTCTTATGAAAGAAAATATAATAATGATATGAAACTGATTAACACTTTTTAATTACTTTTTAAATTGTTGATTCTAAATATGGAAAGTAATGATGAAAATAACAAGACATCATATTGCAGCTTCAAAACATCAGTTACTAAATTGAACTTTATGAGTATTAATTTGAAAACAATGAGTTGTATGCCACATTACGTTATATTAGTATATTTAAATCTGATGCAATGTAACACTTGTCAATTACAGAAACAGTCAGTCTTGAAGATATGGAATTAGTATCTTTTTCTACAAATTATCAGCAAACTATTCCAACTGATCCTGAATTTGGCGTCGAACTACCAGCATCACCCATGGATACACTAATTGAATGTTCTAAAATTCCATCATCAAGCAGGCAAGATGAAGTGCAGACAGACAAGATGAAGTGCAGACAGAGAAGATGAAGTGCAGACAGAGAAGATCCAGGGCAGACTGAGAAGATCCAGGGCAGACAGAGAAGATCCAGGGCAGACAGAGAAGATCCAGGGCAGACAGAGAAGATCCAGGGCAGACAGAGAAGATCCAGGGCAGACAGAGAAGATCCAGGGCAGACAGAGAAGATCCAGGGCAGACAGAGAAGATCCGGGGCAGACAGAGAAGATCCAGGGCAGACAGAGAAGATCCAGGGCAGACAGAGAAGATCCAGGACAGACAGAGAAGATCCAGGACAGACAGAGAAGATCCAGGGCAGACAGAGAAGATCCAGGAAGACTAAACACAGTAATGATGATGTACTCCATATGCAGTACCAGGTCTTAGCAGGAGAGAGAGATAGAACCAGAGTCTGAAAAAGAAAAACTGATATTAGAGAAGCAGAGGTTGAAACTACATATTGAACTACTTCAACGCCTGTTGGCTCAGAATGATTTGGACGTTAACCTTAATCCAACACAGCTTCTGATGTCTATGCTGCATTAATAATGTCAGAATTAATGATGTCACTGTTAATGTAATAGTTTGTTGATAATGATTAAGTGAATTAGCTGGTAAATCTAATTGTTTCTTCCACATTACTCTATCTGTATATACAGACTTCTATTAACTATTAACACTCATATCAAAATACAATAGTGCTCAATATCATTTAATAAAATATTCATTTGTTCAAAATGAGCTCTTTTTCATTTATGAATCAACTTAGCCAGTGTAATTTGCATAACAAGTATCAAAAGTTAAAATTCCTGAGTCTCTTTATTGTTTTTAATCAAAGGGAGACAATCCACCTACATCACACCTTTGACATTATCTCACTTTGTCTTATGTCCTTGTGATTTTGTTTCTTAAAGACAAAGCTATTTTGAATTAGATTCAGTAAATACAGACATTATAAAAAATAATATATTGATTTCATACCTATGTAATGTTTCAGTTGTGCTTGTTTATTACAACATTTTTAACATATCCCTGTAAATTAATACACAGGTAATCTTGAACTGACCTAAACATTGTGTTTTATATACAGATTATATTGATAAAAAAACCCTAAAAAACCCTAGTTAGCAAAGAAAGTACTTGCTATATGATCCCTGAAAGCCTTGCCGTCATTCCGTCCTCTGTAGTGGTCAATGGGTGGCTGGTCCTGTCTCACATGGGCATCATCGACATCAAGAACCTCATTCCGAAGGATAGCTATGTTGTGCAATATTGCGCAGGTCAATATAATTTTGCACACTTTTCCCGGGTTCATACGGATCTAAAACAAAAGTTAAAAAGCATATCACATTATTTGCTAATTAAAAATCATAAATGCAATCAGACATTATTTATGTATTGAAAACTTTATCATAGAAATATGTTATTTTACATATCCTACTGAAAATATTACATTTCCTTTAAACTGCTATCTGCCCTTACTTTAAATCAATTGCGAGTAAATGCATATATCTTAATACCTCAGAATGCAGAACATGAAACCTTCGTTTTAATCGGCCAAAGGTCCTCTCTATGGTGACTCTGGTCCTACACAGTCTGTCATTATACCGCTGTTGAGGGTTCCCTTGTGGGTGAAGGTAGGGAGTGAATAAGTAGGGTCTGCAAACACAACATCAGTATGAAGGAAGCATTCATTGGAAATGTTGCCTAATTTGAAATAAAAAAAATATTTCACTTCACTAGAAAAATACAATATTATAATTTACATGTATGGAAAACTACATTTGACTTGTTGAGCAATAATTATTAGCCGACAACAGGAATTTAGGCTTTCCAGCAAATTAGATTTAAACTGTAAGTTTTTCATGTAAGATATGAAACTTTACCGGCATGCATATCCACTATCTCCAAGGACAAACCCATCTGAAATTCTGGTGTGGTTGGCTTCTAAGTGTTGTCTCAGATTTGATGTCCTAAATATACTCTCCCCAAAAAGAAACGCATATAGGAATTTCAACTGTATTTTTATGTATATTTTGAAACATCTTGTAGGCTTTATGAGTCAATGAAATATAGCGAAATTGCACACTGGGAATGCAGACTTATCCGTCTTTGGTACCAACTCGAGGAAAGTCAGTTTGAGTGTCACATGGAGACGTGTGTTGGCGCCGAAGTCAATACCTCGTGTGACCACCGTGGACATCCAGAACTGCACGGCATCGCCTCGTCATCGAACGAATAAGTCTCAGAATCTCGTGTTGCCCAATCGCAGCCCACTCTGCCTGTAGTGCCTGTGCGAGTTGCTGAAGTGTCTGGGGCATAGGGTTACGGCGTCGCACCCGTCTGTCCAGGGCATCCCTCAGATGTTCGATCGGGTTTAAGTCCGGTGATCTTGAGGGCGAGGGGAGCACATTGATGTTGTGGTTCTGGAGGAAGTCTCTACTGTGACGTGCTGTGTGGGGCCTGGCATTGTCCTGTTGAAACAACTCCCTCTGGCGATCAATGATTGGAAGGAGGTGTGGGCGTAGGATTTCGTCACAGTACCGATGAGCTGTCAGGTTGCCCTGGATCATCACCAAATCACTTCTCCTACGGCAGGTGATCGCTCCCCACATGATAACACAGCCCCGGCCTAATCTGTCCACCTGGGGAACGCAAGCGTCTGCGAAACGTTCACGTCGACGTCTGTACACCCGCATTCTTCCATCGCGTCGTTCCAATAGAAATCGTGATTCATCACTGAACCAGATTCTACGCCAATTCGGTAGGTTCCAGGCCTGAACGTTGGTGCACCATTGAACTCGATGTCGACGATGTTGTTGTCGAAGCACAGGGCCAAAATAAGGTCTTCTGGCACGTAAACCAGCCTCTCTCAACCTGTTCCTGACGGTCTGTGTAGAAAGCCTCCTCAATCCGGGTATTTGTCGAGCGGTACTGGTCGCCGTAGCTGTTCGATGACGCAGGTGATGTATCCGGATGTAGCGATCCTGCGCCGCAGTGGTCGCTCGAGGTCGCCCACTACGAGGGGCATCTGCTACCGCATTCTGCCGGTGATATCTCTCCCAGAGCCGTGAAATGGTGCTTTGGTGAACATTCATGCGTCGGGCAACTGCACGTTGAGACTGGCCAGCTTCAAGCAAACCAATGGCGATATTGACGGTTGGCTTCACTTAGACGTGGCATTTTGCGTTCGTCAACAATATTCCAAATACAGTGAATAATCGACACACAGCAATCAACCTTTTATACCCATCATTGAGACTATCTGATCCCCAACTTTCACGTGCATTGCATGTGAATTGTGTATTCTGTGACACTACACGCCGAAATTGAAAATCATGCTGTTAAATATGGGTTTTTACGGATGGTGCGTTTTGTTGTGATGTTTCAAAACATAAACACGATAGGACTCATAAACAGAGCAAAACCTTTTGTAAAATGAATCACGTTTTAATTCATTGCTACATGAAATTGCTATTTTCATGATGCGTTTCTTTTGGGGAGAGTATATATGACTGTCATGGGCGGAGCCTGGCCAGCTGGCACACAAGTTGGTTATATTTCCTGTTAAAAAAACACATATATATATAATATTTTTAAAAATTCAATTTATAGATTTGAAGTAATAATCATGCAAAATGTAAATTTATTCCTACTGAATTTCTGGGAAAACCAATCTCAATTCTCATAAAAATATTTGTCATGCTATAAATGAGTATAAGCATTACCTCTACTTTCATCATACAGACTATACCAAGGGAGCTCCCTCTCACATTCTGTTTTCATTTCAGACAGATGACAGTTTTCAACTTGCCACACTTTGAAACAAGTAAACATTGCAAATATGTTTTACTGTGACGGTGTTGTTAACATACCATTATCGTCACAAACAGCCTGTACGTTTATGCTGTGCCAGCCCTTACGGTTGACATAAGCAAGCTCATCTTGGGTGGGTGCCTGAATCCGGACATGGGTACCATCAATGCAACCGATGACATTAGGGAAACCTCCAATCTCAAAAAACCCTTCTTTATCTTGTCTTTCTCTTTCCGCTTGACCACTTGATAAACTGATGCCGCTTTCGAACAAGAGCATCACACACTCTATCAACAGTCCTCGAAACTCTTATCAAGGCCAACCGTATCTCCCACAACCTGTAGGAAACTACATCTGGCCAAGAACCTCAAGGTGACTAGCACCTGCATCTCTACAGTGAGAGCATGGTTCCTTTTTGTGTGTCTCTCCACATCATCACGAACCAAAGATATTATGTAGTCAATGGAATCTCTTCGAAATCGGTATCTTTGGTGTAATTCCATTTCATTAAACTCAACAGAAAAATTCCTGAATTCCTTAAGTTTTCTTTGTGGTCTAATGTTCATGAATGCTGCATTCGGCTGGACAATAAACGCCATGTTGTCACCATGGAGCTAGACCTAGAACTGATGCTAATGGTAACGGTAGTGAGCTAATGTACCCCCTCCCCTTCCGTTAAGTTGGCGTTGGCTTAACGGGCCGTTAAAGGTTAACGGCACTTTGAGCAACAGGCTTTTGCTCTCTTAACGTTAACGGACCGTTAAAATTTAACAGGCTTTTGAACAACCGGGCCCTGGGGTTGTAAGGGTCATCCTGGATCCAGGGGACCTGTATATTAGTTTTATCAGTTATTCTAGTTTGTGAGCATACGCAAATCTTTGACCCAAGTTTGTTGGTCGACCGTCAAGATGAGATGACAAGCAGACACCTGGTGCTGTAACGTCCATGCTTGGACCAGGAGATCTGTGTAGTTTAAGAAATGAGAACACGGTTACTATTAGGAAAGCTACCAAATGTGTTGCCAGGAATTAGATCAGGTTCCAGGGGCGTAGCTGGTGTATTCCCATACAATAACCAATAACCATTTACTACACCACGTCTATATTAAATTCAAAATCTCTAATACTCTTTACCTATTTCATATTTTTTTTACCTTTTTAATTCGGCATCCAATTCAAAATTTCCCTTAATACTCAGTTGTTGGTTTTGTTTTTGGTAGTAACACCACTCTTTCAAAATTTCTATTTTTTGGTCCCCTCATTTCTTGTATAAGTGTACTACCCCGTCGCCGAAATACCTTAGTTGTGCGTGCGACATTGAATAAAGCAAATAACTATTACTACCTTACTCCAAACGACACACCTCTTCTTCATTGATAATTGGGCTGTTCCATTATTCTACAGGGCAAAAAATCATTTCCCACGCTGCCTACAATATTTTTGCTGGCAGTTTGGGATGTAGGCAGTTTGGAACTGTAGGCAGTATGGGACCTAACCGCGTAGCTACCACTTTAAAAAACAACAACGGGCTTACACCTGATTGTTGTTAAAAGGTTGAGCAAGCCGTCAAAACTATCTATGTATAAAACTTTGCAAACTATCGGGGTTACAGGAATAAATTGGCTTGCTACGCGCCTGGGTTCCTTTTTGAAATGACAATCCTTGGAATGTACGTGACCCAGTTCACTGCTTATATACTAGGCACATAAAGAAACTGTGCATACAAAAATTTAAAATCTAAATTTATCAAACCTGTGTAGACACATAAGGATTCAAACTCAGAGATTAGTGACATGTATCCAACATGCATGCACGTGCCACGTTCCGTGACGTCAGTGGGTTCGTCCTTGAGACGTGCAATACGTTGTTGCACGTGCATTCCGGGAAAGAGAAACAGAGCAAATGAATGCCACACAATACTGTCACTTTGGAAAGCTCAACCCCTGCCCTTGCGATCGTTCAAAAAATTAAACGGCTATTGAAACGCATAGCATGCCAAGGCTCACGTCTGCACAACGTCATGAGGACATTGGGATGGTCCGTCGGGGAATGTCTCAACGACAAGTGGCTGCACATTTCCACTGCCACCGGAACACCATTTCTGCACTTGTGAGACGCTACCAGACCACAAATGACGTCATCGATCGGCCACGTTCTGGACGTCCACATGTAACAACGCCAAGACAGGACATATGGATAAGGGTGACCCATCTTCGCCACAGGTTTCAGACTGCAGTGATGACTGCCCGAACCATCCCAGGACTTCGCCATATCCACCCAAACACAGTTCGACAACGTTAAGGTCATCACGGGATCAGACCACGACGTCCCGCCATACGGCCTATCCTGACACAACGTCATCGACAAGCTCGCCGAATGTGGTGCCGAAATCATGTCCGCAGACCCTTGTTTTGGTGGAGAAATGTTGTTTTTACAGATGAGTCCAGGTTTAACATTTCCCATAGTGATGGACGTCAACGTGCCTATCGACGCGTTGGAGAACGTTATGCACAGGCCTGTGTCTTGGGAGAGGAATCGCTTTGGTGGTGGTTCCGTGATGATTTGGGGTGAAATAACAGCACGCCAAAGAACTCCTTTGGTGATTGTTCAAGGCAACTTAACTGGTGTGGGCTACAGGGATCAGATTCTTCGACCTTTGGCAATTCCTTTTCTGCAACGTCATGGCCCTTGGTTAACATTCCAACAGGACAATGCCCACCCTCATACTGCAAGGGTTGCTATGGATTTCTTGCAACACCACAACGTTGACTTACTGCCTTGGCCTGCAAATTCACCGGATCTCTCCCCGATAGAGCATGTTTGGGACGAGATGGATCGACGTCTACGCCGTCTTCCTCATCCGCCAGATAACGTCCTTGACCTTGCAACAGAACTTGAGAGAATCTGGCGTGACATCCCACAAGCCTTTCCTTGCACGTTTGATAGGCTCTATGCGTCGTCGATGCACTGCTGTTCTCAATGCCGATGGTGGACATACCCGTTATTGAGCTTGTGACATGGTCAATTGACCCCTGTCCCACTTGTGGACGTCATTGTGATTGACTTTTCAGTTGAAATTCTCCCGACTTGTTATGGTCTCATGATCCCTCTATTAATTGAAATTACCTTTGACATTGTTATCGTACTTATTAACTTGGATAATATTTTGACATTGCACAGTTTCTTTATGTGGCTAGTATATGAGAAGCAACGTTTCTAGATTCACGTTACTCTCAGCCTGACAACATTGTGGAACACAAGCAGTACTCTGGCCAAGGTAGTTGACGTATTCAAGGCGTCCGTACTGCTGATATACACTTTTCTTGTCGAAACTTCACCCAGTTAGGTATTCATTTGAGGCCGACCTCAACTGTTTAAGCGACCAAAAAGATTTTTGTGACATACACGCCTGTCTGTTGCTGTAGCTATCAGGTTGCTGTTGCTATCAGGTTGCTGTAGCTATCAGGTTGCTATCAGGTTGCTGTAGCTATCAGGTTGCTATCAGGTTGCTGTAGCTATCAGGTTGCTGTAGCTATCAGGTTGCTGTAGCTATCAGGTTGCTATCAGGTTGCTGTAGCTATCAGGTTGCTATCAGGTTGCTGTAGCTATCAGGCTATCAGGGTTAGCTATCAGGTTGCTGTAGCTATCAGGTTGCTGTAGCTATCAGGTTGCTATCAGGTTGCTGTAGCTATCAGGTTCTGTAGCTATCAGGTTGCTGTAGCTATCTATCAGGTTGCTGTAGCTATCAGGTTGCTGTAGCTATCAGGTTGCTGTAGCTATCAGGTTGCTGTAGCTATCAGGTTGCTGTAGCTATCAGGTTGCTATCAGGTTGCTGTAGCTATCAGGTTGCTGTAGCTATCAGGTTGCTGTAGCTAGGGATTGCTGTAGCTATCAGGGCTATTGCTGTAGCTATCAGGTTGCTGTGTATCAGGCTGTAGCTATCAGGTTGCTGTAGCTATCAGGTTTGCTGTAGCTATCAGGTTGCTGTAGCTATCAGGTTGCTGTAGCTATCAGGTTGCTATCAGGTTGCTGTAGCTATCAGGTTGCTGTAGCTATCAGGTTGCTGTAGCTATCAGGGTGCTGTAGCTATCAGGTTGCTGTAGCTATCAGGTTGCTGTAGCTATCAGGTTGCTGTAGCTATCAGGTTGCTGTAGCTATCAGGTTGCTGTAGCTATCAGGTTGCTGTAGCTATCAGGTTGCTGTAGCTATCAGGTTGCTGTAGCTATCAAATTTTAAGATACGATGACATGATACCAACCACACCGAGCTTCACCCCCCAGCCGTTGTCTCTTACGACCAGCATGTGCTGTTAGGGACGAGATTCCGACTGAGATCAGCAATGCGGTCTGTAATACTGTCCACAATAGACCCGTGAAGGTCCGGGTTAGAATTGGTCTTCAGTAACCAATGCTTGTCGTAAGAGGCGACTAACGGGATCGGATGGTCAGGCTCGCTGACTTGGTTGACACATGTCATCGGTTCCCAATTGCACAGAACGATGCTCATGTTGTTGATCACTGGATTGTCTGGTCCAGAATCGATTATTTACAGACCGCCGCCATATAGCTGGAATATTGCTGAGTGCGGCGTAAAACTAAACTCACTCACTCACTGTCTACAGTACCAAGGGGCGGTGGGGTAGCCTAATGGTTAAAGCGTTGGCTCGTCATGCCGAAGACCCGGGTTTGAATCCCCAAATGGGTACAATGTGTGAAGCCCATTTCTGGTGTCCCCCGCCGTGATGTTGCTGGAATATTGCTAAAAGCGGCGTAAAACCAAACTCAAGTCAGTCAGTCTACAGTACCCTGGCTACATAGACCTCCAATCAGTAACGACAAGAACATAAGTAGAATATATCTCCCCATACTTATTGTATACAAAGGGCGGTTGGGTAGCCTTGTGGTTAAAGCGTTCGCTCCTCACGCCGAAGACCCGGGTTCGATTCCCAATTGGGTGCAATGTGTGACGCCCATTTATGGTGTCCCCGCTGTGATATTGCTGGAATGTGGCTAAAAGCGGCGTAAAACAGAACTCACTCACTCTTGTATATACCGACGCTCCGCATCTTCAACAAGACGATTTTGGTCTACCTCAACGACAATGCTTGAACATTTTTTGTTATCTTATCATGGCCCTTGACCTAACCTAGAGACACGAGGTCACGAAATGTCCATTAACTTTGGTGCTATGTGTGGCACTCCCTATCTAACACCCTACTTATAAGATAATTCTCCCAGCGGAGCAGTCCGTCTGAATTTCGTACGTTCAACAGGTAACGTCTTGTGTTGGAATTTCTGTTTCAGGTTATCTGCATGCTTACTAATCTCTATCGAAAGTAATGTAAAAAGTGACTTTTAGTATACACCTACATCTCATCTTTCCATGTAGCAGCCCTTGAAAATCCGGGTTAGAAATAATCTGGAAAATCCAGCATAGGTTGGTGGAGACCAGGGTGCCGTTGTACAAAGCGATCTTAGCGCTAAGGAGACCGTAACTCAGGGGCGGATACAGCTTTTTTATAGAGGGGGTGGGGGCGGTGCACTTTCAGGACAAGGGGTGGGGGGTGGGGTGGGGCACACCACTTCTGGATCCCCCTATGG